AAATGCCTAAAAGGGTACCCCTATTTGTGTGAGATATTATCCCTTTGGGAATAAACTGAAAGTTGAAAGGCCGTTATGAAGAAAAAAAGGGTGATTTACGTTGAATAGCTCGTTAATTACATATTGATTTGCCAACGATAAAGAACTTTTATGGGCTGTCTTTATAGATCGTCTACTCGGCCGATATTAGGCCTCGTAATATATTCTTGGCCAAAACATCATTAAAGGTTTAAAGGTCTAATTTATGGTGGTTCAAAACTATGGCTTTTTTGTTCCCTCAGACGTCTTTTTAGAATTTAAATTCTGTAAATTTAATATTCTCTTATTCGTGGCATGATTCGTTTACTTCTCTCCCATTCAGGAGGTTACTGCTTTTATATTTCTTTCTCTATTAAAAAAAAAAAAAAAAGTAGTCTCCCAAAAAATAACTTAAGACGCATAAAAGGCATATGTCTCCAGAAAAGAAATAAAACGCCCTGATAAAGCGATAAAAACGGCCTTTTATCGGCCGTTATTTCCGTAATAAATAAAAACAAAATAGACCCATGGGAGAATACAAAACAGGTAAGCGTATTTAGTCCGTACAGCCATTTTTACACGGTGGAAAAACCTTTTTTCGAAGTTGTCATTGAACAAATTTAACGGTTTTAAAAACAATAACGAAAATAAAGTTACATTTGCTGTGTTCATTCATTATACAGGAATGTCGCTTTTGCACGTCATTCCTACATCAGCATCCAGCAGATCCAAATAAGACATTCTTTTTAACAGAAGAGACATTTTTGTAGACAGTTGCACCTCATGACCACCACCTCGAACAGTTTCTTCCTCGTGAAATGGCGGGACATGTTAGAAAAATGTGATCGGCATCGGCTGCAGTCGTGTTTTCCAAGGGCAGATGTTTTGGTCGGCTCAAATGATTTTATGCATGTGGCACGGGAGTGCCAGTAATGACTAAATCGGAGTTTGCACAATATAGTTTCAACATCGAGGCCGGTTAATCCGGCTGAACTAAGGCTTGAAAGGTACCCTAGGCAGCCCCCTCTGGTTCTTAGCTAGTCATATACCTGTTGCCAACGGTTTTCTAATTTTGGTTCACGTGAGCGGGCAAACCAGTTTGTCGTGATATTTACTATCACTCCCATATTCCGAGTTCTACTTGTCAGATCATCTTTTATATCAAACTGATTGTCATTATGACCCTTATCCCAAGCAAAATACACACCCGCTCCTTTTTCCTTTAATCATTATGGCACGCACACTTGCTGCAAAAGTTATCGCGACGCTGCTTTTCAATCGGATAGGAAGAAAAGTAAAGAAAATAGTTGAGGCGTTCAGATGGGACGCAGATTTCACTCCCGATTGTTATCGAGGGTGACGCAGCTGCTGTGGGACGCGCGTCACATCTTTACACCTCGACACTTAGCAGTACTCAATCTGCCGCAGCGTGATACCTCATATCTTGTTAAAAACAGTTTCGTCTATCTGGTTGGTGGCAAACGAGAAACTGTCAAAGGATAGGATGAGAAACCTAGTGTGCAAGACTCAGATTGAAATGACGCGGCGTCGCGATTTTTGCAGCAAGTGTGCACCACGCCTAAAGCATCTTGGCGGATGCCTTTTATGATAGTGTTTCGTGGGTGTAGAATGAGAGTTAAGCATACTTGGATTACTATGTCCTTGAAATACTACCCACAGGGACACCTTCCTTGTGGGCCCAGGCAAAGTCCGACCATCGACCCTGCCAGGGGGTAACCAATGATGGAGGCAATTTTCTACCATCCTATAACCTTCCTTTCATTATTTTCCTTTCTCTTCCTTACCCCCCCTCTGCTTTGGCAGAGGCTTCCTGGTTACTGAACCCGCACCCCTCAGGCAACGGGTGCATCAGTAGGGGGTTCGTACAAATTCCCGGGTGAGCGATCATTCCTACCTTAAAAATAATACTGAACCACGGGAATAGAGTATCCAAGCGGCTCTACTAATTGAGGTTGGACTCGTGGTGGTCGTGGTTTGCAAACAAATTGTGCATTAGCTGGAGGGTACCGGCCAACTGGAGCCGGAGATAGAGCGCCTTCTCTATCTCTTCGGGGGTGGGAAAGGCACGGCTCAAAGGCTGTGCCAAAAACCACAAAACTGTCTTTTTCAAGGCACATGTATGGCCCTTTTTAGGGCACTTTTGAACTTGGCTAGCATTGCACCACTTCGCCAGCCAAGGAATGTGACAAGTCCATGCATGTAATATCTTCCTGGTGTCTCTTTGAGAACACTGGGCGTCTGAGTAGTCCTCTCGGGGATAAGCGCGGACGTTAAAGATCCTCGTGGGTCTCAACACCCATGAGAAAAGATGGGAACAACTATCCCGATTACGTGCTGTAAACGCTCATCATCAGTTTGAAGGAGTCACAGAAAGTGTTACTATGTCCTTACCATAGAAGAGTGAGCATATCGCAAAGCTTCGCGAATTGGTTCATTTTTAATCCTGTGAGAACGGGATGATAGAGTGAATCGAGTCTTTTTGTCACCGACATGCAGCAGTTTTTCATTTAAGCTTGGGCTGTGACTTTGTCGTCAGGAATAAGATTAAATTCAACTGGCCAATTAAACGACAATTAAGCCAACGATTAACGACCAATCGTTATGTTATTAATAGCTTTCCAACTTTCTCGGCAGTTTCTCGGTAACGTTATAACAAATTGGAGCAATCGTTATCAATAAAAGGCTGGAAATGAGTTCGAATTTTGTATCAATTTAATGAGCGTAGTTTTGTGAAACGTACGGACCTTCTGCTTCTGACCCGTGTTCGTTCGAATCAGTTCATGGAAATAACTCCGTAATCTTTTATATCTCGTCAAATCAGTTATATACGATTTCATATTTCAGGAAAAGACTCCATATATATTTTTGCTGTCAATATTGTACAAGATAAAAATGGTTTATATTGGCTCCCTCAGAGTGCAAGTTTAATTAAAATTCAAACGACTTGAAAAAAATTAAGATGTTCACTGCTGATATACTTTCATAATTGACTGTTGAATCTGTTATCGTAACTGCTCAGAAAAAAATAGTGTTATTATATTCTCCAAATAATTTTTAAAAAAATGTTAAATTCTAGGAAACGCTAATATTCTCTAAACGGTGGGTCCGGCCAGTGCTTCGAGGGCGGAAAAAACAAAAATACACTTCCGATGGTTATGAAGCATCGCCATGAATATTCAAATTGCAGAGGAATTCAAATTGTTGTCTAATTAGGCGTTTGGACATTTCGGTCACGTACGTACGGTCCTATAAAAAACAATGGTCTCACAATCTTCACCTTTAAAGAGGTAAAGTGATCCCACAAGACTTTAAGCGATTTAAACATGTGATGACGTTTATGTAACAATTTAACACGGATGTGTTCTTGGACTGGACAAACATTTTGTTGCGTGACCATTTTCGAGTCATCGATGTCGTGCTACCGGGGATTGATAGGTTAGGCTAATGGAATGTTTAAGTTAGGTAGGGTTACTATACATTAGGAATGGTCATTAGACTAAGATAGGGTCAGATCGAGTAAGAGGCGGGTTATGTTACATATTCATCATACAGTTGCTAAAATATGCGAAGCGCCCGACTTTAAAACTACTTTTTATGTCTTTGCTTTATTATATAATGATACGTGCAACTAGATAAACCATAAACCTGAGGCTCTAGATCCAAAGATGTAAACACTCAACCCACTGGAATTAGCAGTATCAGCAAGTAATAAGTAAAGACAGGATTTTCATGCAGTTGCATATGTTGTTTGCCACCACATACGAACGAGGAAATCAATTGTCTGTCCGAATCATCTGTATCTAGAAAGGTGTAGGTTAAATTTTATAGAGCATATTTTTGCATATTTGAACAATATCGCATATTTGAAGGATTTTACGTAAAATCGCATTTATCGCGCAAAATATTTAAAATATTTTATTGGTTTTCGGGGGAAGCATAAAAAAATCTGTAAACAATAACAAGTTGACGAAATATAAAACGACTTGGGCACCATAACAAATCATATACCGCGTACCGGTTAGCTTTTAATGTAAAGAAATGTTGATCTTTGTGATATGTGGAGACTTTGGTGCAGGCGATTATCATTTTAAAATAGATTCTTCCTCATTAATTATAATTAATTATTGACAATCTCTGTCATCCAATGTCTGAAGAACCATTTCCCATTTTTACCCATTTACCCCAATAATGTCTACATAGAGAAAATTCACTAATTTCGTGGTCCGCTTGACCAATTAATACATTACAATTAATTAAGGTTTTTAGTTGAGATGAAAAAAAGCTAATGGCACGAGCGGGATTCGAACCCACGATCTTCGGCTAGATGGCCACGGAGAGCTTTAGTGAAATGTACTTCATTTTAATTCATTAAATTCACTAATTTCGTGGTCTGCTTGACCAATTAATTGTATTTCATCCTCGGCCATTTCAATTGTCGTCGAGAATCCAAACCGATTACACGACATTTGAAAAATGGCAAAAAGGAGGGAAAACTCATAAGGTGGGGTTGAGATATGAAGTTGATGTCTGAGTGGATCGAGGTCACGATAGCTCAAGTGGTAGAGCAGCGGCGTATCTACCCGAAGATCGTGGGTTCGAATCCCGCAAGGTGCCATTAGCATTTTTTCATCTCAACTAAAAACCTTAATTAATTGTAATAGAGAAAATTGTTACATCATAAAGGTTGACAAATTCGGTATCATCTCAAAGCAAACCATTATGATTTTTATGTCTATTTACGGTTTAGTGTTACAGCAGAGCAGCATGTATATGGCATACCAATTGTCAATTTACGTATATTTGTTTTTAGGATTGCTTGAATTTAAATGTCTAAAACGCTTAAAATACGATTGACTATGGTTCATTTCTCAACAAAATGTTGATTATTAAAAGAATATAATAAAATACGTAAAATAAAAGACGAAAGATGGTTCACATATATAATAAACGAGCAAACTTACGACATCTTCCAGGTTCAGGTTGTTCTTGATCCATTCCCTGCCTTCGTTGAACTCGTCGTGGAGTCCCATGATATACAGGGTGTCGAGGCCGTCGACGATGGTCGCACCGAGTGACGCGGAGCCGAAGATGCTGCCCGTGTGGCCTCGCTTCGAGATGGGCTTCAACTCGTTCTTACCCCAAGCGTAGCGGACGTAGTTGTCCCACGCCAGTTTCGTCATCTGAAAAAAGCCAAGGTTTTCCATCAATTTATGAATTGACAAAAGAAAAAAATAAATAAATAAAAAATAAAAAAGGCGGCCCAATTCGAAGCGGCCGTGAAAACCTAACAATGACAACTCGGAAAAAGTCCAGCAAAGGAAATTTTATTCGCAGTCTTTCGTCACAGTTTTATCCTTTTATTTATACCCATAATTGCACGAGCTCAACTCATTCAAAAACCAAATTTGACCATACCAGTGCAATTCTGATGTAATTGTTAGTGTTCTTGATGTCTCCGAGGTGATGAACAAGTAGCATGGACGTTTCCTACCATTTTGGTACATTTTCGCGGCTTTGGCCTGTTTCAGCTTTATCAAAGGTTATTTTCCTTTTTAATTTTTTCATTGGTAATGCTATGTACTAACGTGTGTTATTTGTAGGTTTTCAAGACAATTTTTCTTTCTTTTGTGCACTTCATGGAGCAATTTAAGACTTCGTTGACATGCCATCTCATCCCGAAACCACCACATTCACGTTTGCAGACGATACAGCAATTCTCTCAAGCAACCCCCACCTTGTCATTTCCACTCGAAACCTCCAATACCTCATACTACTAGAGTCTTGGTGTAAAAAGGAAAGGATAAAATTTAACAAGACAAATCCACCCACTTAACTTCACTCTCCCCGTTTTCTTAAATAAAACTGCGGACAAGGTGCGGTACCTCGGACTTTACATCGACAAACGCCTGACGTGGAATCCTCACACACGACTGAAACGTCAGGAGGTCATGACACGTTATAGAACTGCTGCACGGCTTCTTGACAAACGTTCTAATTTATCTCTCAAAAATAAGTAATAAACCATAGTTAGCCGGTGTGGACTTACGGACTGGAAGTGTGGGGTTCAGCCAAATATTCAAACATTCACCGTATTCAAACTGCCCAGTCCTTAATACTACGGAAAATACTACATGCTCCATTTTATGTATCGAACCTAACTACACATAAAGAATTACATATCCCTTTCGTTGAAGATGAAATACGTTCCTGTTACCGTAAATTTCATAAAAACCTCTCCACTATCGTAAATCAGCACATCAGAAACCTCGCATCCCGGCGAATCCCCTCAAACCCTCCCCGCCGACTGAAGAGACAATGGCCGCGAGATCTCCTAGGAAGTGATGGTGATGATAGTGAAAGTGATAATGACACAAGTATCAATTAAACAGTCAATGATAAGTCGGAAATCGTGAGATGCGGTCTGGTGTGATGTAGGTTTTAGAAAAACATTTTCTTTATCGTGACAACGTTTCGATCTTTATTGAGATCATCTTCAGGGTCAAAGTGTTTGTCTTCTGTGTAATTGTGCCATTCTTGTGTGTCGTGTTGAGAGTGCCCAAAACAGACAGTATTTTAGTAACATTGGAGTAATACCAATGGGTGTTTTCTCCACTCTTGGTTTTAATTTTGCATATATTACCTTGCTTACTGTTACTTGTTACCTAGTTGAAGGTAGTTGTAATGTTCTTCAAATTATTTTAAAAAATCGTATATCGTTGATAGGTATTCTGCAGTTTTATTATCCTTCATTGACCCAAATTTTCCATCAGTATTTTATTTTTCTGTCATATTTTTTCACTCTCACCTAACGTTAGGAATGGTTACGTTAGGAAGGTTAGGATTAGGGACGGATGAGGTTAGTAATGGTTAGAGAGGTTAGAGTAAAAATGGTTAGGATTAGGATTAGAGTAAGGTTAGTGAAGTACGTTAAATGTCCATGTCAGTATTTTTCCGTGAATCTGCGAAAACGAAGTGCTTGTTATAAAATAATTTTTTAACGAGTTTGCTTTACTATGTAATTGGTACATGTAACAATAGAAATGTTAAACATAAAGCGAGCCTCCAGGACCAAAGACGTAAAATGTCCAACTTTATGTTCATTCACTCGTAGACCCATACAATTTTTATATAAATACAGTCTTTAGTGTAGTTTTATGTCTACTTTATTAAATATTCACTAATTTCGTGGTCCGCTTGACTAACTAAATCATTACAATTAATTAAGGTTTTTAGTTAAGATGAAAAAAAGTTAATGGCACGAGAGGGATTCGAACCCACGACCTTCGGCTAGATACGCCGCTGCTCTACCACCTGAGCTACCGTGACCTCGATCCACTCGGACATCAACTCCCCATCACAACCTGCAACCTTTCGAATTTTCCCTCTTTTTTTGCCATTTTTCAAATTAATCTCAAGTGGTACAACATGGTTTGATTGTTTTTGTGTATGTATTTTTTTATTAGTTTATTGATTGTGTTCACGTTCTAACCGTTGGTGTATGATGATTTTTTCTTGTCGGTAATTCATATGAATTTACGCAGGCTCATAATCACATAAACCCACCACCCAGAGAGGAAAGTAAATCAGCTAGGATAAGCAGACCAAAATGATCGGAAACGAACAAGCTACACATTTTATAACCATTCAAACGTTGTAACGGAAATACGAGTAGAAAATGTAATATTCATGCGATTCCAAATTATTGGGAGTGGCCCATTTCTAGGGCATTTTGTACAATTCCAGGATAATCCACCATTGTGGGACCATTCCCCAATTATTTCCGGGTAAAAGCGAACCACTCGATCGGGTCGTTTCTCCCGGCCGACTTGCTCGTGCTTATTTGATATTAATTAATTCGATTTCTATTAACCACGTTAGAAATTCAGTGATATAACCGAAGGTAAATCAATTAAACAGACTTCTGAACAAGCGCAAGGCTCGAAAAAAATAATTGAAAAATTATTCAGAAATCGCGAGATGCGGTCTGGTGTGATGTAGGTTTCAGAAAAACATTTTCTTTATCGTGCCAACGTTTCGATCTTTATTGAGATCATCTTCAGGGCTCAAAGTGTTAGTCTTTGGAAAACTGCAAAGTACACTCTCACACGCACGCAAGAATGGCACAATTACACAGAAGACAAACACTTTGAGCCTTGAAGATGATCTCAATAAAGATCGAAACGTTGGCACGATAAAGAAAATGTTTTTCTGAAACCTCCATCACACCAGACCGCATCTCACGATTTCTGAATAATTATCGATTAACGGTCACTAATCACCACACATAATTGAAAAATGTTGACAAGCCCTAAATCTGCAGGTAAGACACACCCCTATAAAAATGGCCGACAGAGTTTTGAAAATTCGTAAAATAGCATTACTTCACAAAAGGGGCTAGATGGTCATGATAATTGCTTCGTATAAATTTTAAGTTCACTCATTTCGTAGTCCGCTTGACCAATTAATTATCACAATTAATTAAGGTCCGATTACACGACATTTGAAAAATGGCAAAAATGAGGGAAAATTCAAAATGTGGGGTTGAGATGGGCAGTTAGTGTCCGAGTGGATCGAGGTCACGATAGCTCAAGTAGTAGAGCAGCGGCGTATCAAGCCGAAGATCGTGGGTTCGAATCCCGCTCGTGCCATTGGCTTTTTTTTCTCAACTAAAAACCTTAATTAATTGTGATAAATAAGTTTAAAATTTTACTGGGGTCATCATACAAACAGACCTTAACGAACCCCTTTCAAGGTTTTCCTGTTTTTCCATTAAATCGTGTTTATTTCTGTAAAAACTACTATACGACGTACAAAAAGAACTAAAAATGAACATACTCGAAAATTAGGAAGTATATAAGCACAGCACATTAACACTAAACAATTTATAAACGCATAAATTGAATCAGTTCATATACAAAGTTTACACTATTTAAAAAACATAAAGAAAAGAACCGACGGAACAACTAAAATCACCCAGCGAAACAGGCAGACCAAAATGAATGGTGGTCACCGAATTATATTTTATTATGCTCAACTTATCTTATATGTCATATAAGAGTCATATAAATCTTATAAGAAACTTATAAGTCAAATGTTACTATTAACGTTTATTAGGTTTCGTGGTCCGCTTGATCAAATAAATTGTTTAATTAATTGAAAAGAATTTATTTGGTCAAGAGAACCACGAAACCTAATAAATGTAATAAACAAAATGAAGTGCTGCACTAAAGCTCTCCGTGGCCATTTCATTTGTCACCGAGAAACAAATAGATTAAATGACATTTCAAAAATGGGAAAAAGGAGGGAAAATTCAAAAGGTGAGTTTGAGATTGGAAATTAGTGCCCGAGTGGATCTAAGTTACGATAGCTCAAGTGGTGGATCAGCGGCGTATTTAGCCGAAGGTCGTGGGTTCGAATCCCGCTTGTGACAGTGACTTTTTTATCTCAACCAAAACCTTAATTAACCTTTAAAAACTGCGAGAAGCGGTAATAAAAATTGGTTTAAAAATCAAAGGATAAAGAGAAGCTTGATTGGCGAGGCAGACACGAGTAATGCCCTCGCAAAAAGAATTTATAGGACAAAGATAATTACTACCTATATACCAGAATGGGCAATTTTAGCGCAGAGATCTCATCATTCATTGAACTACAACTTCAAAAAATCGTTAAAACATGCGTATACACTAAATATTAAGTAAGTAATACTGAGCGTTAAAACGAAAACTTTCCAACTGTTTAATCCGTTCAAGTCGAAGAGTTAATTAAGTTTTCATCCAGCCGAAAATCCAGGCAGAACAGAACAACACGCTCCTTTTATCCATGTTTCTTTCCGCATTTCGAGGATGTTTAATGACTTTCTTCCGAGTGTTACCAGAGAGGCGTACGCACTTAAGCACAGGCTGTCTAAGTTCATCGAAGTTACATTTTTCACCGACACGCTTTGAGGAAAAAAAGGATTCGCAATGCGGAGGCAGCGGACTTAGACGAGATTTGCGAAAATGAGACCACCAGTTGTTCATAGACTAAGGTGAACTATTGATGACACCAATTCCATGAAGAAATGACAATCCATCAATATTCATTGGCAAAGAGTTCAGACTGTGGGAAAAAACTCCTTTAACAAAAAAAAAAAGCATTTAGAAAACATATGAAAACATACGTTTTAACTCATCGCCTGCAA